ACAGCTGTGAGTCCTTAGGTGCCTCTAATCAGACTAGTGCTCCATAAACTCATTGTCAGAGAGAACTACTTCATCTGTTCAGCATGTGAAGATGCCATCAGAACTGAAGAAGCCTTTATTAACTGAAAAAAAAAATCAGAGAATCAAGCTAAATTATTGTTCCTATAGGTCACTTTATAGAATATATCCTATAATCCAGTTATCAAGTCCAGGGCTTGCCAAGAACACATTTTCAGTTAAAAATGTTTTTGCCAACACAATATTAATAATTCAAGTAATGATAATAATAATTTCTTAGGTTTTAATTAGCAATACATTAATAAAAACGAATTTGCTGTTAAACAACTGTGCACTGGGAATAAAATATTTAACTTCAAACACCATAGTGTATCAGAAGTCATTCTTGCAATTTCGACAAAACCTCATTTATGTTATCCTGTTAGATAACTTTATCTTGATGACATACTTAAATTAGAGGAATTTGAATGTATCACACAAAACCAAATGTTTATGCTTGCAAGGCATTGAAACACATGGAACAAGGCTAACATATGCAAGCCATAGAGACACTTTGGTAACACTTTATTTGAAGGTGTCCTTGTTACACGTTACATGTACTTACTATTATAATAACAATTAATTATGCATAATTACATGCAAGTAACCCTAAGCCAAACCCTAATCCTAACCCTAACCATATAGTAAGTACATGTAGTTAATTAATATTACTCAGTACTTAAATGTATAATTACACTGTAACAAAGACAACTTCAAATAAAGTGTAACCGACACTTCTATCAACTGGCCCAAAACATTCTCACACTGGCACGGGCCATCAGGCTGTCTTTATTGTTGAGCTCTGGAGTCAAAAATTTATATTTAATAAATAAATGAATGTTAAAAAGCTTATAGACTCCCTTGATAACACTGTGGACCAGATTAGATTAAGTGCTTTTAGAACTCATGAAGTGCTGGATGCAGCACAGGTGTGGGCCGTATTTTGCTGAGCGAGATGACAAAAATGCTCATATTGTTAATTATGTTAACGAATGGTGATGAGCTAGTTTCATTCACCCACAGAGAGCAGTCCACCTGGCAGGGCAGCTGTGCTGGGATGGTGAACCAGGTGTGATGAAGAGACAAAGAGGAAGAGCATACCTGCAGCATGAGGGCGTGTGGTGAGTGCACAAAGATGGAAGCATTGTCCTTGGGAGAGGACTCCAGACACAGCTGAGCGTCAGTGGCTCGAGGATTATAGGTGAAGGCGATACTGGCAGACAGCTTTCCATCATACAGCAGCATCTTATGATGTTCTGCAAACAGCAGGTCACTCTCTGCCTTGTGCTTAAAAGTGCCCTGGATCAATCAGAGGGAGAGAGATGCGGAGTAGAGCTATGCTGCACATTCTCATGTGTGTGTGAAAAGCATGAACTTAAATCTGATTAATCAGAGCACTTGATAAAAGCATAAGTGTTTAAGTGCAATATACAGATTGATGATGTGAATGATAAAGATGCCTGATGGGTTCCAGCCAATTATCATATCACTGAAGAGCAATGATTGTTGGTTCAACTGACATTTAGTATTCGTTTAGTATACTACATTCATTTTAGTATCCATTTAGTATACTATATGAAGTGTTCATTTGCAAAAACCAATAAACGGCACTTAAAAAAAATGAGCTGATTACCGTGCATTATTCTCCACATATAGCGTGATCTGAACCCTAAACACGTTTTGTCAAAAAAGCCGGTTTTGTCCACTTTCAAGGCATCGCGAGGTCACGTTTTACTGCAGAAGCCGACAAGCGCCCTTGTTGTTTTTGAACAGAAGCCGATAAGTCCTTTTTAGCGAATCAGCGCGCTGTATTCAGGTCAGGTGACAAGGCTACTTTCACTTTGAAAAGACGTGCTACCTGAGTGGAGTTTCGTCAAAGCTGACTAAAAGTGATCGAGGATGGATCATTTCGACGAACTTGATGAACCTGTGATATCTTCTTCAGGGCGAAAAAGGAAAATAAACGCTGAAACGTTTTCACGGAAGCTTGCAAAAGCAGCACGTTACAATGGTGAGAGAAAAGCTCTGTGTATTGCGTTTAATCACATCCATACAGTTTATGATCACAACAACAACAACGTTTGT